TTTTATTTTTTATTTTATTTTATCTGTTGATTAGGGCCGGAGGAAAGATTGTTGGGTTGGTTACCTACCTCCGTTTTCCCTCCCACCCACCCCTTGCATGCATCCCGGTTCGGTACAGTGCCACGTCCGCAGCGCCACGTCACAGTGCCAGATCAGCAGTGCCACGTCACAGTGCCAGGTCACAGTGCCACGTCATAGTGCCAGATCAGCAGTGCCAGGTCACAGTGCCATGTCAGACTCAGTGCCACGTCAGCAATGACGTCAGACACAGTGCCACATAAGCAGTGCCACATCAGCAGTGCCACGTTAGACACAGTGCCACATCAGCAGTGCCATGTCAGACACAGTGCCACGTCAGCAGTGCCACATCAGCAGTGCCACGTCAGACACAGTGCCACGTCAGACAAAGTGCCACGTCAGCAACATGACGGGCCTGCCAGGCCAATTGGCCAATGAGCCCATTGCCGACTACAAAAAGCGTGTCCATGCTCAGCTCGCTGCAATCGAGGCTGAGGAACAACGCCAGCTGGCAGTCAAGGCTGCCCAGCTACAGGCTGATGAAGCGGCAACAGCAGAGAAGCTGCGGCTACAGGCCGAAGCAGACGCAGATGCCCAGGCTCGTCGCAAGGAAGCCCAGGCTCTGCTGCAGCGGCATGAAGCCAACAGCATCGAGAAACTCAAGTACTGGCATTTTGAACCGAACGGCGACGAGCCAACACCGGAAGAACAGCATAAGGAACTCATGGCCAAGCTCGTGAGCAGGTTGGTTTACACATGTAACCACCTACACTCCGAGCTGGCAAACCTTCAGCGGGCCGTGCGGGACCATAAGAGTCAGCACGAGGATGCCACACGGGCACTGGACGCCCGTGTACCGGACCTGGAACAGGCTATACCAGGACCAGCTGCTCGGGCTTCCAGCAGTGCACCCTCTAGCCGCCAACTGGAGGACCACGTTGACCACGTAGTGGCAATGCTCGGCGACATCAGCACTTTCGTTGCGCCGACCACCACCATCAGCAGTCAACTGCATACATTGAAGACCGAGGTCCAACAGCTGCAGACGACGAACGAGGATGGCAACCCGAAGATGTATAAGATGCCAACTTTCAATCTGGAGAGGTTCGACGACTACACGCAGCAGGATCCGGTCCTCTGGTGGGAAGCATTCACAACGCAACTCAGGATTCTGCCCGTAGCCAAGCATGCGTACAATGTCATCGACGCCCTGTTCCTGAACTCAAAGGGCGGATGCCAACCTGGTTGAGCCACCTGGCAACCTCCCACGGCATCGACGTACCAGACTTGAAGGACCAAATCACATGGGAAGAACTGACACGGTTGTGGAAGAAGCGGTTCATCGTCGCCGACGCGCCGACACTCGCCATCAACCGTTTGTTCACCATGTCACAGGGCAACACTGAAACACGGGATTGGCTCACAGAGTGGCAGAAGATTGCGGCAGTGCCCAATCTAGAGCTGCCTTTCACTCCCCTCAGACGTGAGATCTACAATAGATCCTGCACTGCATTGAGCCAGACTCTTGGTGATTGCGAGCAGTACTCCACTTTCGCCGAGATTATCGACAAGGCGAGGGAGATTATCAAGACCAATAGGTCAGCTGCACACGACAAGTCACCATGGCAGCCGACCTATGTGGAGAAGGTACGAACTGGTCCGCGACAGCAGCACTTCGCTGCAGTCCAGCAGGACAGTGGAGATAACCCAGCAGCCACTCCAACATCAAGTGACGGAGATCACGTGGCTGTTGTCCAGCCGCGAAGCAACAACAAGTTCCGCAACAATGGGAAGGCGAAATCCACATCACAGGCAAAAAATGGACAACCAGTACAAGTTCCATGGGTCAAGTTTGGCTTGACCGAGGCGGAGTACAAGGTCCGCGGCCGCTACGGCAGCTGCTACTGGTGCAACAACACCAAGCACAAGACCTCCCTGTGCCAAGATCAGGGCAAGGAGGATGTGCGACCCCGCCTCAGCTCGGGAAACTGAGCTCCGCGGAAGGTGAGGCGACTCCACCTTCTACTCCGCTAGATTCGGCCGCCTTGCTAGCGGCCTCCTCCACATCTGGGGAGGATGCGAATGTCGCAAGTCCTCGGTATTCTTACGAGGATTATGCTGTCCACTTGGTTCCACCGCTGGACCAACCGCTCCAAGTGCAACAGTCCACCGCATGCACGGTTTCATCACCATCGGCAACTGATTCGGCAGCTTCGCCGCAATCTATCACCGGGGATTCGACATCATGGTCAAGACTTGAAGAGCTCGACCCGTTGACGTTCACGGACTTCCAGTGGATGCCCGTTCCCTCAACCGGACGATTGCCGAACCTGCATTGCAATGTGCTCATGGCACAACTGCGGGACTACTTGCACACTGCAGTACCAACTCCGTTGATGGACGCCGGAGCAGAGGTTGTCGACCTTCACGCTTACATCGCGAAGATCGACCGCGAGTTTAAGACTCAATGGTACGACGACATCGACGCACCATTGCTATACGTACGCATTCAGATCGGAGAGGCGACCTGCAGTGCCTTGATCGATTGCGGAGCATCCCGCAACTACATCAGCCAGGACTTCATGGTGCGCGTCGGCCTTGGCCCACGCGTCCGGAGGAAGCCCCAGCCTACGCAAGTCACATTGGCGGACGGTCACACGCACAAGTCAATCGACCGTTGCATTGACAGCGTCCAGTGTACTTTGCCCCTCACGCAAGTGAGGCGGTGTCCTTTGACATTCTAGACACCAAATTCGACATGATCTTGGGCATGTCATGGCTGCGAAGCAAGGATCACCCGGTGAACTTCTTCAACCGCACCGTTCACGTTCGTGACCGGAACGGAGTATTAGTTCTATGTACGGTGCCTCTTCCTCATCCTTCGATCAGCTGCCACGTGGTATCCGCCGCAAGCATGCGAGCTTCCATCATCAAAGACGACATCGAGGAGATGGGGGTGTGTTTTCTCCACGCCCTCCCGCCCTAGGATGCTTCATCGACGGACTCACCTTCGGATCCACGCATCACCGAACTTCTCGACGCCTACAGCGACGTGTTCGAAGGCCCGCACGGGGTTGTACCGGATCGACCCATCCGCCACGAGATCATCCTCGAGGACGGGGCCGTACCTCCGCGCGGTTGCATCTACCGAATGAGCGAGGAAGAATTAATGTGCTTCGGGCACAACGCGATGACCTTCTAGAGAAAGGCTGGATTCGGCCTAGCTCATCGCCATACGGTGCTCCTGTTCTCTTCGTCCGGAAGAAGAACAAGGACCTGCGGTTGTGCATCAATTATCGCAAGCTCAACATGCAGACGATCAGGAACGCCGGTCCTCTCCCACGCATCGACGACCTTCTCGAGCGATTGGGCGGCACCCAATTCTTCTCTAAGCTGGATCTCAAGTCAGGATATCACCAACTCGAGATTCGCAAGGAGGATCGCTACAAGACCGCGTTCAAGACACGGTATGGGCATTTCGAATCGCTGGTCATGCCATTTGGCCTTACGAATGCCCCAACCACTTTCCAAGCGGCTATGACGACGGAGTTCCGACACATGCTGGATCGTTTCGTACTTATCTACCTCGACGACATTCTGGTTTACAGCCGGAGTCTGGACGAGCAAGTGGAACACTTGCGCATCGTTTTGGAGCGGCTACGACAGGCCAAGTACAAAGCAAACCGCGACAAATGCGAGTTCGCACAGCAGGAGCTGGAGTACTTGGGACACTATGTGACGCCGCAAGGCATCCGTCCGCTTGCGGACAAGATCGAGGCCCTACGAGTATGGTCCGAGCCCACCAACACCACGGGCGTTCGTTCATTCATGGGGTTGGCGGGCTACTATCAGCGATTCATCACCGGATACTCTAGGATTGCTGCACCTATGACGAGGTTACAGTCGCCAAAGGTGCCATTCGTATTCGATGACAACGCACGCCGGTCATTCCAAGCACTTAAGACGGCTATGCTCATGGCACCCGTCCTTAGCATCAATGACCCCACCCTGCCGACGCGAGTGACTACGGACGCTTCCGGCTATGGCATTGGGGCAGTCTTGGAACAGCACGACGGCGATGACTGGCACCCTATG